AATGTGGAAACCGTGTCTCTCCCCCCCCCCCACCCCCCCCCCCCCCCCCCCCCACCCCTCCCAAATACTTTCGAAGTTATTGGAGCGATTTCAGATTCCGATGTCTGCTTCAGTTTCCACTCTTCTGTGAAGTGAATCGTGACACAGGAGTGAAGTGCCAAAAAATAGAATATCCACTTCTGGCCAGCTTCCAAAAATGGTTGAAAAGGGGGCTGAAGGGGCTCAGGGGAAGGGGAAGGGGGGGAGGGGGGGCAGGACTCAGGTGAGACTGACAGCGTTGAGTGAGCCCTTGTTGACGGTGTTGCCCGCTGTGTCGGCGGTCTCTCTGGACTGCCTGCCTCGCAGGCTGCGCATTGCCCAAATTCGATCTCGTGGAGCTGCGTTTTCGTATTCCCTTTCACTGAAAGAGAAAATTTGCAGTTCACAATGTCTCGGGGTTTAAAGAAAGAAGAAAAGTTTGCAGAGACTTCTTTAATGAAGTAATTTTCTCATATCTGTTTTCCCTGAGTTGATTCTCACAATAATGGGAAGGTTTTAATGATTCAACGTTGAGGGATCGATGAAGCCCATTTAGCGTCCTTCTTTTCTTTTTATTTTTTTTCTCCTTTTTTTTAGCAACCCTGCTAAGCACATGTCTCCCCGTCTCATCGCTCATTCTGAGGGAAGGAACGAAGGAACACTTCAGAGGCGAGGAAGGCACGGGGAAAAAAAATCTCGGAGGAAAACGTGACGAGCATGTTCGATCGTTATTAGATTTTCCCTCTCATTCGTTTACTGCGCTGTATATGAAATCCCGGCTTAATTGTTCCAACCTTGTCGGGTCGAGCGAAGAGAAACTTTCCCGCTGCGTGACCCGAATCGACAAGGGTCGCCCTTGGCCCCCCGTTCCGAGTCGCCGGTGCCGACGAATCGCACGATCGAGCGTTCACATCCGGGGCTTCAAGGCGGATCGGAGACGCTTGGCGGTTCGCCTGGCCCGGAAGGACTCAAGCTGGCGTCGGATCTCCTGCTTCCTCAAGGCCTCCTTCTCCTTCTCGCGGGTCTGGAGGAAAGACATTGGAGGTGTCTCAAAAACGTCATCGCGACTCGTTGACGACCATTCAATATTTTTTATTGTCCGTCTCAAGTAAGCTAAGAAATGAACGGCCAAAAAAAGTGCGATCTTTTGCATTCTTTCTACTCCATCTCCGTAATGCATTAACGAATTTTGAATCTGAAAACAAGAGCAAAATTGATAGGATATAGGCGTTTATGGGGGGAGTAAGGGACAAAGGGGAAAAGTATTTATTTTATTTTTCAATTTCTTAGATTAACTGAGACGGACATCTGCAAAGTTTCTGTCCTTGGGGATCCTTCTCCGCCTTCCAGAACGCCCACATGGTAATATTGCTCCACTCAGAATAATCATCTTATATGTTTTAGAAGAATTCGGAGCACTTTGATCCTCTCTCTTTCGCCCTTTTCCTCCTTAATTCCCCCCATAATTCTTCCTTCCTTTTTTTTGTTACGATCCCATTAAAGTTCTTTCTTCTTTTCTTCTCGACTGGCTCGATCTACTCGGTTACGCTTAGAATCGAAAGACTGAAAAGAAAAGTGGTCGAAAGCTAAAAATACTTTCCTCGACCTCCAGAAGGACCACTGTCCTTTTGTTAAAAGTAAAGAAAAGTGGTGTGCATAGATATAACGGTTCATCTTTAACATAATTCCCCAAAACCACCATTTTCAAAGCAAGGGAAAAAGTTCTATGAGCACTAAACCAACTATATATTTTCGGGCGTTTTTTGCAGAGACCTTTCCTTTCAGCTCCTCATTATTACAAATAAAAATGTTTAAATAAGATCGTCTAATAAATCCGAAACTCAATTAAATCTACCTGGTAAAGAGATCGGAGAAGGCTCGGATGGGCAGAATCGAGGACGGCGGTGAGAGTCTGCACTCGAGACTCCAGCCAGGCAAGGGCATCAATCGGATTCCTTAACACGTCACCTTGACTTCCACCTTGCTCTTCATCTTCGCTTTCACCTTGACCTTGATCTTGACCTTGATCTTGACCTTCACCTTCACCCGACACGAATTTCCTGTACAGCTGGAGGACCCTAGCATGCAGATCTTCTTGCTGGCCTCCCCGCCTCTGTCTGTTTTGCTCCTCCTTCAGAGCACTGGGAAAAAAATTGGTTTCGATTAATTTGAAAGGATTTATCGTAAGGAGCTCATTTGAATAATTGGTTGAAAGGTTCAATTTAAAGGATTAATAAACAATTTAGAGCTCTTGTAATGTTTCCTCGCAATTGTATCGATCTCAGCTATTCCTGAAGGTTTTCCTCTTCGAAGAACTCCTTTTTGCATTTAGCACTAATTCCAGGCGGCTTTTTGCATGTACGGCACCTTGCGAATGCTGCCTGTGAAGGGAATGCCGCCTGGAAACGGAATGCTGGACAAGTGTAGTCTGCAAAATGGAAGAGTCCTGCGACACGTTTTCGTAGTCGGATCCCTTGGAACTGTGTCTACCGATTCAATGCAGTTTCAATGTGGTTTCATGCAACGTGATTTTTAAAAAATCTAGAATCAGTTATCTGCGATTTCTAAACTAAAAAAGAAAAACTGACTTCCGTTAAAACACCTCGAACTCATTCCATTCATTTCTACGAAAATTATCGAGTGAGAATTTTGAATTCCGATACTTTTCTTATGTAGTCCTCAGTTAGATGCCTTTCTTTTGAGCAAATGGTGTTGGTGATACGAAAACGACCAACGCTTTGCAGGGATTCTGCATTCTCCGATTCCTGTCGCAGAGAGCGGAAAAAAAGGAACTGAAGGAGGCAGCGAGGAGGCAGCACGCTGCCTCGTGCTTCAAGTCGCTCCAGCTCGCTGCCAACGGCCGAGGCAAAGGCTGCAGACCTGCAGCGGTCCATGAGAGAAACAACGACGAATAGGGGGGGGGGGGGGGGGGGGGGGG